GAGGTGCCCCGAAAGCCAGTGTGGGACGGCGCTGGGATTGGAACCCAGGTCTGCCCTGCACACGGCTCCTCGCGCCGACTGACCTGCCTCCCCGTCTTCAGGCCGTGGCGTCGGCAGAGCAGCCCGTGAACCCCTCGGCGCTCCGTGTACCAGGCGGTACGGCCACCAGGACTTCTGAGCTCCCACCGGCAGGAGCGGCTTCTCAATTGCTCAAAAGAAAGAAACTCCACCCCGTTAAGCGGTCACTCTGAGCTACAGGGCTCGGAGTATTTTCTGTTTTGTTTTGTTAATACTTGCCCACAATTCCCAAGGGTTGTACAACGAGCTTCTGTTACGTTTCTGTTAAAAAAAAAAAAAGAGTTCTTGTTGAAACATCTCACTTGAGCCCCACGGCTGGCGGGTGGGGGTGCCGCCGGAGCCTGGCCCCCGACCGGAGTTGTGGCTTCCGGCCCTTCCTGTGCAGTTTGGCCCCCAGGTTGTTGGGAGCCTGAGACGAGATGATGGCAGTTACAGCTCCCCGTGACCGGAACACGGAACACGCGGGCCGGAGGAGTAGGCTCTGCTGCTGCTGCCTCTGAGTGTGGTTTATGGTGCAGCAGTGGGAGGGCCTGGGGGCAGTTCCCTGAACTTCGGTTTCTGTTGAGGTGGCCAGTTTAAAGGAAAGAAAGTGCAAGTTGCTGAGGCCTGGGCGGGCGGGGGCATTCCGTTCCACGGTCATTCCTTCCCAGGGGCCGTGCGGGTCCCGCCAGCTTTCTCCCTCGGCAGCCACGTGGCCGTGGGCAAGTCACGGACCCGCCAAGCCTCCCTTTTTTATTTTATTTTATTTATTTTTTAAATATTTTATTGATTTTTTACAGAGAGGAAGGGAGAGGGATAAAGAGTTAGAAACATCGATGAGAGAGAAACATCAATCAGCTGTCCCCCGCACATCTCCCACTGGGGATGTGCCTGCAACCAAGGCACATGCCCCTGACCGGAATCGAACCCGGGACCCTTCAGTCCGCAGGCCGATGCTCTATCCACTGAGCCAAACCGGTTAGGGCTATTTTATTTTTTAAATATACTTTTATTGATTTCAAAGAAGGGAGAGAGAGAGAGAGAGAGAGAGAGAGAGATCAATGACGAGAGAGAATCATTGATCCGCTGCTTCCTGCACGCCCCACACTGGGGCTCAAACCCACAACCTGGGCGTGTGCCCTGACCGGGAATCGAACCATGACCACTGAGCCACACTGGCCGGGCTCACTTTTTATTTTATGATTTTATTTTTTCAAGCCTGGCTTTTCTGTGGAAAGTGAGGATAATAACACCTACGTGTGAGATTATTGGAGGGATGAAACATGATTCCTTAGAACAGAGCTTTTAAACCATCGCTGCCCCGCTGACCCATCGGGCGGCCTGGGGAAGCCTCCCTAGAAGCTGCTTTGAAATGCATTAAACTTGAAATGCACAGGATGACAGAGGAACCGATCCTGTTGGCCTGTGGCCATGCTTTTTCATCAATGCGCTAAAAAGCAAGACCCAGCGGTGAGGACATAACTACCATAACTCCGCAGTTGTGATGAGTGTGAGCAATATTTTGTTATGTCTGCAGTAGCTGAAAGGTGACGGGGAAAGCAGTGATTCCTAGCACAGACTAGAGCGGTGGATTGCCCACATCCATAATTGAAGGGCATGCTAAATATCAGGTAGCGGTTAGTGAAAAAAGCTTGAAAATGGCCCTCGCCGGCGGGCTCAGTGGTTAGAGCGTCGACCTGGGCACTGAGGGGTGGCAGGTTTGATGCAGGTCAAGGACACATACCTGGGTTGCAGGCTTGATCCCTGGCCCCAGTTAGGGTCAGTGCAGGAGGCAACCAGTCGATGTGTTTCTCTCACATCATTGTTTCTCTCTCTCTCTCTCTCTCTCTCTCTCTCTCTCTCTCTCCCTCCCCCCACTACCCCCTCCTCCTTTCTACTTTCTCTGAAAATCAATGGGGGAAAATATTCTCGGGTGAGGATTAAAAAACAAAACAAAACAAGCAAACTTCTAAGTGGACCCCTGAATTCTCTCGTGGGCCCCAGTTCAAACCCCCTGCCATAGAAGGTGCTTGGCGCTCAGTGGATAACCTCCAAAAATGAGCCGAAACCCCTGCCTGACCTCCTGGGAGCCGAGGGTCCGAGGGTGGACTGGCAGGGCCATAGCACTGTGGGGAAGGGATCGGCGCAGACCTAGGATGCTGACTGGGGAGGTCGGGATGGCGAGAAGAAACCTTCCCAGGTCTCTGAGTAAGCCACGGAGGCTGGTGAGTCAGGAGACGGCCAGGGATCTTGCAGATGACATAGCCTCAGGTGGCGTGCATGCGTGTGTGTGTGTGTGCGTGCGTGCGTGCGTGCGTGCGTGCGTGTGGTCTGCATCTGCACTGGCTGCTACTTTTTCAAGAAACCTGGGACAGGTGAGTGCCAGGCGGTGGCGTGTGGGCTGAGACTGGCACGTCCTGTGGGGGTGGGGGTGGGGAGGAACACGTTGGGTTGGGAGGTGACTGGTGGCCTCCAGA